ATTTTTTTTATTTTAGTTATATTTTAAAAAAAAATAAAGAAATAATAAAAATTCTAAAAAAAGCTTGCGAGCCCAAGAACTATTAAGAATGAGCTCGGGCTCAACTCATTAGAAAGCTCGAATTGAAAAATTCGAGTTCGAGCTTTAGTCGAGTTGACTCAAGTCATTTACACCCATATGTAGGTATAATTTATCCTTTTATAAAAAATAAATTAAAACTTGGATTAGGTTAAATCCAATCACGATTTATTTCCAATTTTCATCCATAAATAGCAACTACTCCATGAAAGGAAAATGAATAATAAATAAAAGCAATCAATCCAAAACATAAATTCTTTCTCCACTTTGTATTGATTGAACAAAATGAAATTGAAGCAAATAAAGTATTTAAAGTAGTTTATGGTATTTGAGAATTTATTTATAATAATTTCTTATAAATAAATTTGTAAAAGTACGAGGACAATTAATATAGGTTTTATTATTACCATTCACACCATGCAATGCAATATCCATGCATCTTAAAGTGTACAATGTATTAAAAAATCTCGATAAATATAGTTCATGCTCGAACGAATCGAGTCGAGTTGAGTCGAACACATACGTGCACTAAAAAAATCCGAGTTTAAAAGTCGTATTCGATAAATAATCGAGTTGGACTCAAACGAGGTTTAATAAGCCGAACACATGATAAAAAAATAAAAAAAAACCTATTTTTAAAACAATTAAAAAAATAAATATATTCTAAACATATATCACTAATAATAAAGAGTTGTACTTCTATTTAAATATTTTTTTTTTCACACAAAGATTTGCTTTTTGCTCTATTTCTATTGTCTGCCCATAAATCTCTAAGAAACCCTTTCTCTCACATCTCTCTACATTCCTACTCTTTGAGATCCACCATTCGTCCCCAATTTCCGCCGCCTAAACCCTAGTTTCCATCGCCGGAGCTACTGGTATTCGCTCGGTAAGTAGAGAGAGAAACAAAATCGACTCCGGTTTCTCTCTCGTGCTCTGTTCAGGCGCATCTGTAAAGCTTTGAGTCCAGGTATCACCCGATCCGACGATCATTTACTACGTTCATGAAATTGTTATTAATGCCTATGTAGTAATATTTTGATTTGATTGGTAAATAGAGATCTGTGAAGATAGGTTTTTGTGTGTGTGGGAATGTGAGTCGGCTTAATTTGACGATGTTAGGGTTTTTGTAGGTCTATTAGTGAGATCACTGACCAATAATGGCGTCGGCGGCAGATGCAGCGGCAGCGGCAGCGGCTCAGCTACCTGTTTCTGCGCAAGTCGTAAGTTTTTTTTCCTGTCGATTACTTGTGTTTGTGGTAATTTTTTTTTCCCTGAAGTTGGGCTTTTTTTTTTTAATTGTTGATTGAACTTGGTCCTGCATTTTGGTTGAATAGGTGGCAAACGCATTTGTGCAGCAGTACTATCGCATTCTGCACCATTCGCCAGGAGTCGTTCATCATTTTTATCAGGACATAAGTAAGCTTGGTCGTCCTGAGGAGGATGGCTCCATGAGCATCACCACCACTATGCAAGTAATCCCTCTCTTTCTCTCTCTCTCTCTTAAAATTAGAGATTAGGCAATGCCTGTGGATATTTATGGAAAATAATTCCCAGTAGGTACACATTTGTTAGATTTTAATTAAATAAGTATAAATTAAAAATGATGCATCCAAAATATACTACTGTAAGTCCTAACTGGAACTCAATAATATTTCGTCTTTTGTAGGGGGGGCAATTACATTAGCATTTAAAATAGAAAAATAAAACCTATTAAAAATAGCAATCTTTTTATTTCTTTCTTTTCCTTTTTTGGGCAGGCCAGAGTCATGCACACAATTTTAATTTTACATGTAATAGATTTCTATTACTGCCCCTTAAGTTTATTTTAGGAAAAAGATTTGTGTGGCTACTGGCTAATGTAAATGTAATAAGAATAGGAGGGTTAAGCGTTCACTTGTTTTCTTTCTGTTATGATGGGGAACATACTTTTTTCTAGTGCAGTTCTGCCCATTTTTGTGCTACTGTTTATTTGGGGTACGAGTTTGGATGGTCTGATGTTTGTACATTAATTTGCTTGTTGGCTCATTAAAGGAAGTAAATGGTGATTCATTAAGTGTTAACTGGTTTCAGTATGAATTTTTGTATTAATTTTTGTGTATCTGTGGATATGTGATGACACAGGCTATCCATGAGAAGATTGTCTCACTCAAGTATGGTGACTTCAGGGCTGAGATTAAGTCGGTGGATGCACAAGACTCGTTTAATGGTGGAGTGGATGTTCTTGTAACTGGCTATCTTACAGGGAAGGAGAACACTGTCCGAAATTTTGCTCAATCTTTCTTCCTCGCACCTCAAGACAAGGGCTACTTTGTTTTGAACGACATGTTCCGGTATGTGGATGTTGTTAATGTGAACCCAGCCTTGGTCAATGATGTGCTGGTGCCTGCTCCTGCTCCTGCTGAACCACGTAATGAACAAGACATAACTAATCTTGTACTTGTCTCTTTTCAATGTTGTCTGTTACCTGACAATTTGTTTTAATTTTTTTTTTCAAGTATTAGCAGTTGCTGAACCAATTCAGGAAAGTCATGTTTCTGAGCGAAGCACACCATCTGCTGAGGAAGCGATCAGTGGAGAAGTTATCAACCCACCGGAGAATGGAGATGTGCCGATTGCTGAAGAAGAAGTCCCTGTGGCTGAGGTTGTTGATGAAGTGCAAGATGATAGAGAAATAATTGTTGAATCCAGTGCCAAAATTGAGGAACTGCCAAAGAAGTCTTATGCCTTTATCGTAAGTGTATAGGAGCTGTACTAATTCATATGTGCTTATGTTAATTTAAGCCGCCGCTTTTTGCTACACTAGTAATGGTCCAGTACCAATCTCTAACAATCTTGCACATAATATTATTCAGGTGAAGCATCTCAAGGAAAGTGGTGTAATTCTCTCGCCCCCAGTGACTGCTCTTCGTAAAGCTCCACCAAAGAAAATTGAGCAAGTGAAACATAATTTAGCCCCACCAACCGATGGACCAGTTTCAAGTTTGGAGTCTGTTGATAATGGGAATAGCCAAGAGGAGGAAGGCATGTAATTCTTAATTTTCTGTTCTTTGGTTGAATCGCACTTTCTGCTGTATTTCTCATATCATTTTCCTCTCATTTATGCAGCTGATGGTTACTCAGTATATATAAAAGGCCTTCCGATGAACGCTACTGATTCAATACTTGAGGAAGTATTCAAGAAATTTGGCGCTATCAAGAGTGACGGGATTCAAGTTAGAAGCAACAGAGTATGTTCAAATTTATTAACCCCGTGTTTAATTAATGGAGGATGTTTGATAGATTCTTCTAATATCCGCTCAGTGATTAAGAATTGCGAAATCACCGATTTTAATTCTTTTTCTGCAGCAACAAGGTTTCTGTTTTGGCTTTGTGGAATTTGAGGAGGCAAGTTCTCTGCAAAAAGCTCTCGAGGTATGTGGCCTTTTTGAGCTTAGATGCAAGATAACGTCTTATATCAGACATCCTATGCACATGCATACATGTACCTATACATACCTGGTACCATCACACCGGGTGATTTTTCCATGTATCACTTCTTACGAGCATAAACCACTTCTATTTAAACTTGGCATTACCTTGATTTTCAGGCTTCTCCAGTGACAGTTGGTGGGCGCCAAGTGTTTGTTGAAGAGAAGAGGTCTACAAATTCCCGAGGCAAGTGCAATTAACTTCTGATTTATGCTCGTAGAACGCAGATAAATTTGAAACAAAGAGCTTAGTGTTAGCTTGCTACAAATACTACTAAAACGACGATATACTAATCCAGCTCCATCTTAATTCGTCAAGAAGACAGATAGAAGTAACTCGATTTCCTACTTTAATGTAGAACACTTTTCATAACCTCTACTCTGTTTCTTAACAGGAAATAACAGGGGAAGATTTCAACCTGGACGAGGTTCCGGATTCAGAAACGAGGGCGTACGAGGAAGAGGAAATTACGGAGGGGGCAGAGGGGGTTACAACAGGGGCGAATTGAACGGCAGGAGTGAGTATGGTAATAACAGAGGTGGCAATCGAGGAGGATATCAAAGGTCTGAAAGTGTCAACGGTGGTGCAAAGAATATGACGCCTAGGGTTTCTGCAACTGCTTGAGGAGTTTCGGGTAGGATTTATTCTTGTTCTTTTTTCTCTTTTCTTTCGATTTCTGGTATTTATTTTACATCATTGAACGGGTCTTTGGGTTGAGCAGTTTTATCACACATGTGAATTGTCTGAAATGCCCTCCCCTAATCTGTTCACATTTTTTCCCGTTTGTGGGTATAGTGGGTGAGTAGATGAGATTTAAGTAGGTTTCGTGTTTTTTTTTTCTTTTTTTTTTGGTAGTGTACACCTAAGGTCGTCGTCCCCAGGAGGGAATAGATTCTCGAGACATTTAGAAGTTTTTGTATTTGAGGTATAAGTTATGGGGGCCGTATTGCTCTTCTTTGATGTATTGGAATAAAATTCCGCACTTAATTTTTATCGAACTACTTATGGTTTACCAAGGTTAATGGTTTTTGTTCGGCTTATAACATTTGTGTGAACATCTTCGAAGCTCAATTCTAGTTCGATCGCTACAAGATTGAAAATCGGTTTCGTTTGTAACATTTATGGTCTTCTTGGCCAGCATTTGATTGAAAATCGGTTTCGCTTTCAAATCGCTTCGAATCGGTAAAAATTGCTCAAGTTTACCAAAACTGAAATAAAACAAGAAAAGTGTCAACAGAAAACTACGGCGAATGAAATCAAAACTCGAGGATTAGATAAGTGAAAATCATGCAAAAAGAATTAATTAATAATATAACTATATAGCCTTTTAGTCATCTTCCATTGATTTTGCTCATATAATCAAATTAAACAACCAGATCTGGCAGAATTTCACGAGTTATATTATATATATAAAATCAACAACGTTGTTAACTTACAAATCATACAAAAACCATACACAATTAATTACTTGTTAAAAAGCAACTTCTTGAAATAAAAAAACACAGTAAACTTTTTTTTTTCTTTTTTTATTTTTACATATAATAAATTAATATCTATCTCCATTATTATTATGCACCTTCTTGCTGACATGATGCAACCAACCAATCCCTTTAATTGCCTTTGAAATCTTGACAAGATTAGGTCTTCCAATCCCCAAATTCATCTTCTTTGTTGACAAATTCAGTGCCTGCAAACAACACAACTGCCCATTATTAATCCCTTCTTCTTCATCTTCTTCTATTTCGATTTCGATTTCGCTCTTCTTCTTCTTCTTCAAACTCTTGTTTTCGTTCTTCTTCAAATTCTTGTTTCCGTTGGTCTTTTTCGCCGACCCATTACTCGAATTGATTTCGTAAGCCTCCCATAACGAGTCCATTCCTTCACCACCATCCACATTGTGCCTCTCTTCGAATAATTTGCATGCCAATGTCCTTTTCCATTCTTTCTCCTTCCTCATCGATCCGTAATTCCCGAGATTATTATTATCCGAACTAATTCTCTGAGAATGAGCTTTCACAATTGATTTTTTATCATCTTTTCCACTATTGTTACAATTCGCAAAGCTCTTAACACTTACTTTACTCTCCTTTGCATCAGATCCATTTCTCACAGGCAATTTATCGAACACTTCGACGCCAATTGGTGGCGGCTCGTCCTTTTTCCTCTCTTCCACAAAAGAGGCCATCTTTTTGCACTCTACATCATCTTCATCATCTTTCACCATTGATTTGTGATGATCTTTTCCACCATTACTAACAACAGCTTTACTCTCATCTGCCTCGGATCCGTTTCTCAAAAGGGATTTTCCGACAACCGCTTTATCGGTTTTCGCGCAGACTGTGGGCGGCTCCACCACTTTTTTCTTCCTATCTTCCACACCAGAGGCCATCTTCTCGAACTCGTCGAGAATTTTCAGGAAATTCTTCAATCTCCTTTCCTCCATTAATCCAGCACCACCGCCATTAGAATCTGCTGGATTTATCACCACCTTATTAACCACCGCGAAATTTTCGATTTTACTACCAATGCTGAGATCTTCCTTAATTTCAACAAGCGGGGGATCTTCTTCCGGTTTTTCCTCCAAGAACTCAACTGGGTTTTCTCCCACCTCCATTATTACAGACGGGACGAACAGAATTTCGTACATTCCAAGATCATCGGAGCCCTGAAACCCTTCGTCCGGACAGTGTTTCATGAAAGCACAGGCGGATAATTCTGTACAGAAAGCTTCGTTGACGAATGCGAGGAGAAGAAGAGAAATGGTGACGAGAAGAGGAGAGAGAAAGTGGAGGAGTTTAAGAATGTAAGGAGAGAAGAAAACAAAGTAAGAGAAGTAGAGAGGGTGAGAGAGAACGAAGGAGAATAAGTGAGTTACGCCAGAGATTAAAATACTACAAAAATGGCGCTTTGAGTTGGAACTGCACAGCTCAGACATTTCTAGAGAGAGAAACAAAAGAGGGAATAGAAAAATGAAAGATGGAGAAGAAATGGAGAAGACGAAGAAGAAGAATCTTGTGGTGTGATGCTAGAGTAGTGAATGCGGCGTGAATAAAGGAAATTGTAATTATTGATTGATTTGTAACCGATTTTGGAGAGAGAGAGAGTATATAATAACTAACAAGAAACAAATCAAAGGTAAAAAATAATTTAAAAAGAAGAGAAAAAATCATTTCCCTTTGGAAAAAGATTTTCGTGCATTCTGTTGCACATTCAACAACCTTAAACGGATTCGAACCCCTGACCTCTCACTAAACATGCCCCTGGTATCCACCACATAAATAATTGGTACTATAAAATTAGATTTGTTTGAGGAGCAATCACACATTGCATTGCACATAGCAAATTAGTGTAATGACCATGCAACAAAATTTAGTTAAAGAAAAACCCTTTGTGTACGAGAAATTGAGAATTCATTTGAGCATATTCCGCAATTTACTCTTGAAAATCTCTTGTATATACTATTTAGAAAAAAAGAGGTAGTGTAATAGAAACGGTGTATGAGTTGCTACATCTCGTGAAATACATTGGTTGATTTTGCACTATAGATCTATACAAATAAGTAATATCCACCCACTGACCCCACATACATATAGGTATGTAGTGTAGATCAGTGGTACAAAATTACCAGACGGGTGTAGCATCTACAAAATCGATAAAAACGAAGGCACCACCCTAATGAATAGCAAGAAAAAGTCCCATTTATTCATCCATCAATGTTTATGGTTAGCTTTCACTTTTCTTCATCTTGAAATTAGGTTTAAGATTTATTGTAATTGATTAGCATGGAACAAATACTATATGAATTAAATTCATGATGAACCATATATAACATCTATTGAATCTTGAAAATGAGACAGTTGGTTGTATTTGACTAGACAGCAACATTAACAGCACATGCTACTGGTCGTGCCCCGTAATCGCAATTAAGTAAATACTTAGCAATTGTAGCTAATCAGTTTAATGCAAGCTAATTTCCAAATCAGTTTTTTAATATCATATTAATCTATAAAAAAAATTAAAAAAACTAATAGAATTTGGACCCATGGGCAATAGTTTTATAGAAACAAACAGCACGTGAAGGCATATCTTGAGTAATATGATTTGTATATAAAGTTATTTCCAGCAAAGAATATTCAAGAAAGTGGATGTCTTCTTGTAATAATCTCACGCTACACAGTATACATACAAACAAATTATACTATGATGCAAGGGGGACAAAATTAGTGGTTACCAATCACTACCACAGTTTATACTATGCTACACTGGGTATAAATACACCAAACACACACCCACATTGGTATGTATAGATCATCAGTAAAAAATTCACCCACCCTATATAACCTTCACCGGTATCACGGTTTATACTATGCTACACCGGGTGAAATACATCGGATATCTTTACTATTCATATATACAAAAACACACCCACCCACATTGGTGTGTGCGGATCACCAGTAAAAATCCACCCTATGTAACCTTCAACCGGGGTAGCATACAAAAAACTTTTTAACTACAGAAGACAGGTGGTTGATAGATGGTGAATTTTAAAGAAATTAGGGTTTGAAAAAGGGAATTCAATTCACATGGGAAACCACTCAATTACTACTCCATTGCATACCTTCCATTTACCTCAATTAAAAAAAGAAAGAAAAGAAAAGTTTTCTTACATGGGGACCCTCAACTGTCTGCTGTTGCCATATTGATGATATAATATGTGGATGGAATTACTGTGAACCCACACAATTTCTCAGGCAAGTCAAAAAACTTGACATGTGAAAAGCATAATAAAGTCATTCTTCCCACATCAAAAGATACCAACAATGCAAGATTCATGACTTTTTAAACTGCATATACAAAGTTAAAAAGGGATAATAAAACACAACCAATTCCTTTACAGGCCCCTCTACCAACTGTGTTTATTTGTGTGTGTGTGCGTGTGTGTGTGTTTATCATCACATACACTTCATCTAATACTAAGGTGAAGAACAAAAGCTATTAGCCTCAATAAACATGACTGCCAGAAACTCGACAGTAAACGGCACATCTAAAAATTGGAATTCTAAATACCAACTTATAACTAGACACAATTGAACAAGAACAGAAATATGTACTACGCACCACCAAATTTATGCTTCATCTAATGTTATGGCAAGAGATCTTTAGTTACACTAGAACTTCACAAGACATTTATCTATATAACGGGTCCTGTCTCGGAAGTGCAGACCCAAACCAAGTTAATCGAAACTAGCATGAGAGAGAAGCCAAAACAAAAACATGAAAACAAATAGCAATACCAAGAATTCATAATAACGGCAAACCAATAACAGGAACCAGCTTCCAGCTCCAATTTTGACTCTTGAGTTCATATAACAGTATCTGCAACAGTGAATATTAACCTGCGCAAACCCTACTCAATCCACGCGTAACTCCTAGCATGAATATGAACTTCCAATTGATTCAATCAAACGAGAAACAGTGAACAAAAGCATCATATATAGAGCATAAAAAACTGGGGAGGAATAAACAAAAGCTTTGCTTATCAAATCAATATCTGATTACACATACTAACAAATCCACGAGTTCAAGCGAAAACAAAAAAAAGTGAAAAGTTTCTTCACGACACTTCTAGAAGCATTCTAGATATACCGTCCATGCTAACGATTGCGTGATGCACCTCATTACTCATTCATAACAGGTTTGTTTTCACTTGCCTTTGGCCTCTGTTCCTTCGGCTTCTGCTCTTCAGTTTTCCTGGATTTCGATCAACGAGTAAGACTAAATGCAACAAGAATTGCAAAAGAGATGATAAATAACTTAATGTTGAAAAGATAAGCTCTGTGCTTATATTCCTACCAATTATAGAAAAAAGCCTGTATATAATTAATTATCTGAATTGGAAATAACAATTAAAAAACGCTTCCGAACGATCCCACCCGTTCACTATTGGATCCATAACCAAAATGAAAAAGAATATGCATTTACGTGAGTCAGCGAAATCATCAGCGAACACCAAAAATATATTCATTCAAGAAACAATTTTCAGTTCTTAGGCTGAACATGAGCTGCATAAACTTGTAAAATTAGCTCTTCAAACACATGACATCATCTACTTAATGCCCAAAGCTAACATACAATAACCTCATAAATTCAAACAGATATAAAACAAATAACACCCAGTAAAACATAATCGCAACGAATAATCGGAGAAAAAAAATTAAAAAAATTACGAGCATAAATACCTCTTGTCGGAGGAGCCACCCTTCTGGCTGAGGAAGGAGCGGAAAAGGGGAGAATTCACATCGTAAATCATTTTCACAGATCAAATTCACGGCGCCGGAGAAACCCTAATTTTTGAATTTCAAGCCCTAGTTCGTTCTGTGTTTAAGCAACTTCGATGACTGAAGAATAAATTAAACATATAATTATTTATATATATATTTAAAGCTACACAAATTTGGGCCGGGCCTTGAGACTAAAGTCTACCTAAACTTCAGCCCAAATAATCTTTAATAAAATGCTAATCGGTTTATATATAATAAAAAAAACGAAATGGATTAATATTAGAAGCTCAATAAATTAATAACATCACCTAAATAATATTCTTTTCCGATCCCAAGTTAGTGTTGACGTATAAAATTATTAATTCGATGATTTAATATTTTACTAAATTAATAGAATTTAACTGGTCGCAATTCTATTAATTTATAGAGGTTTAACTGTATTTTGTTATATATATATATATATATATATATATATATATATATATATATATATTTAATCATAGAAAATAGGGTAAATTACAAACACCCCCCTGAGGTATGATCAAACTACAAAACCCCCCCTGTTTGGATAATTACATCTACCCCTAAACTATGATTTTTTCTTACACCTCCACCATTATGGTGCCAAATTCAACATAATCATCTAGATTCCGTGAAATTTGCTCTAGTTTGTACTCGTTTTGAGTAAAAATACAGTTTCCGGTGCACCACAAACTGATATATACAAGCTAAAAATCACATATTATGATCATCTTGCTTCATAATGTGGAGTTTGAATGGGATAAAACGGGTAGAAAAGTGATAATATTCCATATAATCTCGAAGATTCCACTAAATTTGAGGAGTTGAGGGGTTGGTTGTAATTATCCAAACAATAGGGGTGTTTTTGTAATTTGACCATACCTCAGGGGTGTTTGTAATTTACCCTAGAA